TTGTGGCCCGTAGGCAACTTTCACATTTTGGTCAAGAAGATTAATTGGAGAATGCAATTTTCCATCGCCACAAGCTTTCCATTTCGGGTCAAGTTGGCTCCATTTGGACGGTCCTCGACCATTTGCTTCAATATAACTGAATGGAATTGTATCGTTTGTGGCTGCAATAATATTAATAATTAGAAGGAAAAAAATCATTAATAAGGAAAATAATATATATGTGTAGTCTGTGTAAGTATTTATAAAGTTGCGATGAATGAAGAAATTAACCAGACCAACTTCAAGTTCAAAAGCAACGCATATTGTCGTGAAAAGAGAATGGAAAGAGAGAATGAGTGAAACAAGAAGAAAAAAGTTCCCAAGTTAAGGTTGGTATAGAGTTTGGAGTAGGTACTGCTCATGGTGCTCGATTTCTTCTTCTATCACTTCAGTCAGTTTTTTGTGTCTCGGTGAAAGAGTGATTAGTGATAGCTTTTGAGAGAGAGAGAAAGCTTTTGAGATATAGGGTAGCACTACCTGGTGGCTCGTGTGGCTTCGATAGAATAAAATCTTTTTAAATTTTTTTAATTAATTTTTTAATTTTTTTTTAAATTTGTTGCTTTAAAAAAATCATTCTTCTTTATAAATTTATTTTAAAATAAAAAATTTAATAATTTTATTTCTTAAAAAAGAAAAAACAATCATGTTTTAAAATTTTATTTTAAAATTTAAATATAGAGTAAAATATATTATATGTATCGATAAATAAAATTTTATATAAAAAATATTAATTGGATGATAATTTTCATAAAAAATAATAAATTCAAATAATAAAAGTAATATAAGCTGAAGTATATGTTAATTTTCATATATATATATATATATATATATATCTGTTTAAAAATGAAAGAAAAATGAAAGTTAATGATTGAAAAAAAATTAATAACATGAGGGACGTAAATAGAAAAAAGTATTAAGTTTGAATATTAATGTCCAAAAAACAAAAAAAAATCATTAAAAAAATCACACATAAAAATTAATTAAATTGATATCAAGTGAATAGTAATTTTAGGTATATAAATAGTTTATGAATAATACCTATGGTTCTAAAAACTTATGGTTTTTAATTTCTTTTAATATTAGACAGCAACCAAGGCAACAAGAGATAAGGAATAACTACAAGAAAACAATGATGCTTATTAATTAATTAATTAATGTTGGCTTTTGAAAGAAAGAAACAGTACTGATAAAATTGATCTTATAGATCGGTCAAATATTAAACCAAAAAATTGACCCTTCTGTTTTTTTAGATACATTGATCACACATATAATTAATATATATATATATATATATATATATATATATATATATATATATATATATATATATATATATATATATATATATATATATATATTTATTGAGTTAAAGGTAATATTAAACAAGAATCGCATCCTATGCAGTCTTGTAATCAATATGCAAAAGGAGATGGGAAAAACTGAAAAAGTGTCATACAAGTTACTATTTTTTTCTTAATTTTCTTTCCTTCCCCCTAAAGTGCATGTTTTTATAGAATATAACAATAATTTTTTGAAAAAAAAATAATCTGGATATTTTGTATAAACATGATTTCAGACAAAATGACCCAAAGGAGAGAATTATGATAGATTGAGGATCCAAGTGAGAAAATATAATTTGGGATCTCAATGAAAATTAGTATATAAATTGCGAGTAAATTATAAATTAATCTTTGTAGTTTTGAGAAACAAATAAATTAATCCTCTTTATTTCAAAAACTAATTATTCAATTTATTAACCTGTATTGATATACTTATAATTTAATAGTATTTTATTCTAAATATATATATATACTCTTTGTTTATCATCTTTTCATAATATATATCTATTTATTTTTTTATAAATAAATTACAAAACAACATAAAATGACTAAATCATTACTTTTTGAAATAGAAGGGGCCAATTAATTTGTTTCTCCAAACTAAAGAAACTAATTTATAATTTACTCTATAAATTGGAGAGTTATATGAGATTTTTTTTTTTTCATTCTTTTTTTTGGGGGTATAGTCTCTCACACTCTCTCATCTATGGCAAAACCAAGAAACCGGCCTTATAACAAAGCAATGTAGAACCAAGGCATAAACAAACACAGCAAGGATGATATTACCCTTCAAACTAATAGAAGTATATATTATATAGGTTCGGCCATATATTTGTGCATTTCAGCAACAGCTGTACGTACATATCTAGCATATATATATATATATATATAGAGTGTAACATAATTTTTGGTACCTAGCTAGCTAGTGTAATATTAGAGAGAGAGAGAGAGAGAGGGAGGGAGGGAGGTACTAGAGAGAGCACACCAAGTTTACAGCCGGCGAATTCACGTTCAGAAGCTGCACGCAGCTAAGACCGTGAAAGTAGAACCCGAGAACAAGAGATACAACAAAGAAGAAGCTAGGCTTAATTTGTAGCAGCAGCAGCAGCATCTAGCTAGTCTTGGTGGCTACCTCTAATTTTAAATTAGAGGTACCTAGGTAGTGAATATTACCGATTATTAGCAATACGATAATAAATTTCAAATCTAAGCGACGACTTTGAAGTTTCCAATTGAAGATTTGCTTTTACTTGTAAACTTCGCTTAGAAGCATGATGATTCTCATACCAGCTAATTAATTCACGTCAGTTTGTTTCTTTTGTTTTTATGTTGTTTTTCTTTTTTTAACTAGCAGAATCAGTATGTACTTGTGGATTGAACTCTTAAAGTATGAAATTTTAATGTCAAAATTCACTACTAAGCAGGGACTTAATTTTCATGGGTAAAAATTGATTCATCTCATTCTAATTGAATGAACCTTTCTATATCATAAATTGATTCATCTGATTCCAAAACTGCCATTTGCTGGTTTAACATCATTGCCTGCCGAATTAAGAACTCCAGTTTGGAACCAGAAATTTAGGTTGTGGTTAAATTCAAAAAATTAATAATTCGGAGCTCAAAAAGTCGCAGCGATGCAGGCTAGAGAATGACAGTGATGAGATGGGCTTGGTTAAGGTCCATTTGGTAGGAAGGGCCCTAGCTGGATTGTAAATCTCATCCGTAACTCAAAGCTTGATGCTAAGATTGATTCACAATCGGGAACTGTTAACATGGAGCCCAACCATCCCAACGTGTAAGATTGCAGTAGATATAGATTGTTGTAGTTGTAAATGACAATGCTTACGATTCTAGTTACCCCTTTTCTAGCCTTTTGGTCTTCTATTTTTATTCATTCCTCCCATATAGTTTATACGTCAACCTTCAGGGGTCTCTACTCTTCAAAAATTTGGCAACACATCTTCACTGAAGTTATTGATCACACCAAGGCACTATCAGGCTGCACTTTGAAGTTAGTCAGTCAGATTCTTGAGCATGCACAGGCGCAGGCTGCTCGATAAAGTTTCTACATGCAGTTCGATTAGCTTTCCGAAAAATATGAGTGATACGAGCCGCCTTTTGAAGGAAATCAAAAATGGTGGATACCAGTTGCCTATAATTATTTTGGTTGAATTGAAAATATTCTTTTTAAATTCATCTATAAAACTGATGGTAAGTGATGAATGGCGTTATGCGATGATTTACTTTCCATGTAAATGATGTATGAAATAATTGTATTAAAAATTATTAGTTTTAACGATAATTTTTTTTAAGGTAACTAGATCAATCTGTCCTGATAATTTTTTAAAATATTTAATTTGTTCTTTCAATTAATTTTTTTGATGAAAGGCTTTTTCTTTTTTTTTTTTGTTGTAATGTAATTAAAAAAAATCTAAAGATTTCAAAAATAGAATATGTATGTCATGCGATTTTAAATTGATTTTTTTTTCCTTGCATTTTAGTAAAGAGTATTTTGGTTAAAAAGTTTGTCTATTCTCAAAAAATTTAATTATAATGACAGATTGAATATTTAAAAAAAAATTAAAAATAAATAGCATACAATTAAAAATATAAAATCAGACAGAAAGAAATATTCATGTATCTATCCATTTAAAAAAAAAATTATGTTTGAATAGTGCTACACTCCTATACTTAACGAATTGGTGTCTCTACTCTCTAATGCCAGTTGCACTGAGTTCTTGTTGTCGATCCAAATTTTCTAATAAATAAAAACCAATAGTACGTATAGAAATTTATTTAAAAGGACAAATTAAAAAAGATTGAATAAGAAATTAAGTTCATTTATTAATTTAATAAAAAAAAAACAAGTGGAATTATGGAACCTTAAATTAAGAAATTAAATTCAAGAGAATATTATATATTCACATATAAAAAAAGAGATTACTCTTTATCGTTTTGAAGGGAGGAACAAGAGAGATGATTGTTATTCTTTAACTACAAATAAATCATGAATATTGAGAGAAATATTTGATTGGTAAATCATGAATCAAGGCTGATTTATTCCTTTTTGTGGTTGATATTTTATTTCATAAATAAATAAATTATGTAAGAATTTCTTCTGCAAAATTAGTAATATTATTAATTCTTTCTTAAAGAACATCTCTTAAGATGTAACTTGTATTGTTTCCGACATTTCAATTGATGGATTTTAATTTCATTGTAAAAAATAACACAAATGATTAAAGGTTCAAGAAATAATTATATATATATATTCAGAAGGAAAATTTGCTCTAGTTTGATATTCTTAAGAACATCTTCTAACTGCCATAAATAGTAGATGGATGAGGGGTGAAATTACTTGATGTCGATTAAGTCTGGAGCAAAATTGATAAACTCAAACAATATGGGACCGAAATGATAATGAGTTAATTCATCAGCGACTAAACTGAGATCTCTCCTACTTCTCGTATCAATTCTTGGCTTTTGCATAAAGTGATTTACATAAACCTCAGGGCTATAGTTGATATTTCAAAACAAATAACGTTGAAGTTAAATCCCTCTCCTTTATCTCGTTTTCTAGGTTAAACCCCAAAACAGCAGCAGCAGCCCATATCAACAGCCATGGCGGCTTACGATCTGACGCCACGAATTGCACCAAATCTAGACCGCCATTTGGTATTCCCTCTGCTAGAATTCCTTCAAGAACGTCAGTTTTACCCAGATGAGCAGATCTTAAAAGCCAAAATCGAGCTTTTAAACAAAACGAACATGGTTGATTACGCTATGGACATCCACAAAAGTCTTTACCGCACTGAAGATGTCCCTCAAGGTAAACAATGCAAAATTCGGAAAAAAAAATGATTTTTAGCACTTGTACATGTAGATAAAGTTTTTTAATGTGTGTTTGATGGCTTAAATTGTTGAATTTTATAGAAAAGATTTGAGCTCTTATGTTTTTTTTTATTTTATTATTATTTTTTTTTTGTGTATAGATATAGGGGGTGAGTGTTTTGGTGTGTTTTTAGTAATGAGTTTTCGATTCCTATTGTTGTTTTTTTTGCTGCTCCGAATGGAAGAAAACGAACATGCAATTTTTTTTTCTAGCACATGAAGGTGCAGTGGACGTGAATTGTTTTTGCTTGATTAAATTCTTTAATTTGAAAAAAAAAAAGATTTAATTTTTGACACTCACACCTATAGATACGGCATAAGTGTATGTGTTTGCTTGATTATATTGTTTAATTCAAAGAAGATAATTGATTTTTAACACAAATGTGACTGTACTTGTCCCTATATATACATTGAATTTGTCTGTGCTCAGAATGTTGAAGTTTTGATTGTTGTTGTTGGTGGTGTTAGATATGATTGAGAGGAGGGCAGAGGTAGTGGCAAGATTGAAGGCATTGGAGGAGGCTGCCGCACCACTGGTGGCATTCTTGCAGAATGCAAGTGCTGTGCAGGAGTTGAGAGCTGATAAGCAGTATAATCTTCAGATGCTCCATGACCGTTATCAGGTTTGTTTTTTGCAAATCTTCATTTAGAGAGGGTTTAGGGTGTTCTCTTTCTATCTTTTATTCTTTTGAGTGAATTGTTGTGTAGGAACTAACTAGCAGCTAAATGAGATCTCAATTGATAGGAGGAGCTTCGTGGGTTTTTAGTTATTCATGCTGCATCACTCAAGAGGGCATTTTGTTAACCTTAATAGTTAATAGGCAATGGTGATCGTTATTGTGAAAACTAGTGATCTTAATGAAAGAGCCAAACCCATTTTCTGTTCAGATTTCAGATGTCCACTTGTTTTGCTTTCCAGACTACAGATCACATGTTGATTCTATTAAAATTTCTCCATGTTCTCTATTTGTAAAAATCTTTGATATTTCTGTCAACTAAAGTTCCATGTTTTGGATGGAGGGGTTTTCTTATTAGGCTATCTAACATCATTGACTTATTGTGCTCTTTCTCAACAGATTGGTCCGGATCAGATTGAAGCATTATATCAGTATGCCAAATTCCAGTTTGAATGTGGAAACTACTCTGGTGCTGCTGACTATCTGTATCAATACAGGGCCTTATGCACTAACAGTGAAAGGAGTCTGAGCGCATTGTGGGGAAAGCTGGCAGCTGAGGTACTGATGCAGAGCTGGGATATTGCTCTTGAAGAACTGAACCGGTTGAAAGAAATTATTGATTCAAAGGTTGTTTTCCTGCACTCACTTCCTGCCCTTCCATTTGGGTTGCATGCCATTTATTTATTTTTATTTCTTATATTTTTTTGTGAGTAACTTGGTGCTTATTGAGGATGCTTTTCTGTTGCAGAGCTTCTCATCCCCTTTGAATCAGGTGCAAAGTAGAATATGGTTGATGCATTGGAGTCTCTTCATCTTTTTCAACAATGAGAATGGAAGGACACAGATTATTGACTTGTTTAATCAGGACAAGTATGGCTTATCCTTTTTTTCACTCTGCATACATTTTCAACTATGACATGTTTTCTATGTTTGTTCTGACTGAAAAAATGACTTTTGGATGTTAATTAATCAAAATCAAAACCTATACTTATTTCTAAAACATAAGGCAGCAGGAGTTAACCAACTTCTCTTTGTCTCTGTTTTTGTCTTCCTTTGAACTGGAGTAACCTCTTAATTCAATTGACTATTTTTTGGACCTTCTTAAGACAATCTTACAGGATGACAGAAATTATTTCCCCTTTTTATTTTAGGTATCTCAATGCCATTCAAACCAATGCACCCCATCTTTTGCGTTACCTAGCAACTGCCTTTATTGTGAACAAAAGAAGAAGACCTCAATTCAAGGACTTTATAAAGGTTATCCAGCAAGAGCAGCACTCTTACAAAGATCCTATCACAGAGTTTTTGGCATGTGTCTATGTTAATTATGATTTTGATGAGGCACAAAAGAAGATGAAGGAGTGTGAAGAAGTAAGGTTCTTATGCCCTATTGTGATTGACATTTTAAAATTCCTGAACAAGAAAGCTTGAGATGATTGTATCATTAAAGTTGTGCTGAAGTTCTATTTTCTGGATGCACCTTTGTTTTGTTTTTGGCCTTTGTAGTTGGTGGGGCTTTATGGTTATATGTTCTCTGATCATAATTTTCCTTTTTGTTGTCTACTCCTGGATTTTGCTAAACTGTCACACTCGTTGTAGGTGATACTAAATGATCCTTTCCTTGGCAAACGTCTAGAAGATAGCAACTTTTCTACTGTGCCGTTGAGAGACGAATTCCTTGAAAATGCTCGTCTGTTTATCTTTGAAACCTATTGCCGGATACATCAGCGCATTGACATGGGGTATGTATGTTCTTCCTTAAATTGTAATGCTAAAACTTCACAAATGGAAATTCTGTACCTGGGAAAACCATTCCTTTTTTAGTGGATGGTGTAAACCGTCAGTTTAATGCCCATACTTTTGCTTTTCAATTGTGTTGCTCACATGTGCGTTGACACTAACTTAGACTAACTTATTTACCTCATGGAACGTCTATTGTTTCTGTACAATTGAAGAGTATATTACCCATGGCTTTAATGATTTTGATCCAAACTCAGTGAAAATTTGATGAACAAATCCTATGGCTTCAATGATATTTGGTCCAAGCACTCAGCAGTTTTGACTATTTTCAAGATTAACTAATTGATTACTGCCAATTCAAGTGGTGTATGAACGAGGCTGCTAGTAATTGTTTCTTGCTTTAAGTGCTTTCTCCTCTCTTATATTTTTTCTATTGCAACAATACAGCATTAGTTCATCTTGTAAGCTGTTTGCTTTCATGAGTAGTTAAATTATTATCCCCCAAATGCTCCAGGGTTGTGTTTCTATTTAATAAGATTTGTGAATTTGGGTCGGATTGTCCACAGCTGAAATGGCCCATCCTTCCATTGAGCTGTGAAGTAACCAACCTTGTGATGTACATATTGATTCTGTTACGAGACTAATTCAAACTGCTTTGATGTCGATGGCAGTGTCCTTGCAGAGAAATTGAACTTGAATTATGAAGAAGCTGAGAGATGGATTGTAAATCTCATCCGTAACTCAAAGCTTGATGCTAAAATTGATTCACAATCGGGAACTGTTAACATGGAGCCCAACCATCCCAACATGTAAGATTGCAGTAGATATAGATTGTTATAGTTGTAAATGACAATGCTTATGATTCTTGTTACCCCTTTTCTAGCCTTTTGGTCTTCTATTTTTATTCATTCCTCCCATATAGTTTATAATTCAACCCTTAGGGGTCTCTGCTCTTCAAAAATTTGGCAACACATCTTTACTGAAGTTCTTGCATCTTTATTTCAGATATGAGCAGCTGATAGATCACACCAAGGCACTGTCAGGCCGCACTTCAAAGTTAGTCAGTCAGATTCTAGAGCATGCACAGGCACAGGCTGCACGATGAAGTTTCTATATGAAGGCTCGGGGGATTTATTTCTTATAAGATATTTGGCATCTGAAATTCATCTCTTTGGTGGAGGAACCCAATCAATATTGAGAAACTGTGGTGATTAACCTTTCCCAGAACCAGAGTTAGAGCAAATATAGAACAATTATTAACTTTGAAAGGGAGAGTTTTTGTTTTGCTTGTTCTTATCTCAATGAAATATCAATGCATCGTATTTTCAGCTGTTATTAACATCGGGAATTTATTTTATTTGATTCTTTATTTCCCTTTTATATCTCTTGAGGACCCAGTGAGCACGAATGAGTCAGTGTTTGGTTCAGAAATCATGCTGGATTTTAAATTCGATACTGCAGCTGACAGCTTTTTGTAGGACAGATTGGTCACCAATGGGTTGGCAATCTCAATGGATCTTGTTGGTTGAGCTTGTTTGTTGATTTATCATGTCTAGATTTTTGGCCGCAAGTTCAGAATAACAATGCTGGTGAAAAAATTATTCTTGGTTTTGGAACTTCGATAATCAATACTCCCTGATGGTGACCTAACAAAAGCCCTTATCTACTCGTAGACTATAAAACTTGCTTCCATGGGATAGAATCTCTCGATGATTTTAGGGGGTGCAAGGTTGGGTCAGATACTGTAACATAACATATCAATCCCTTTTGTAAGTTTGCGAGGAGAAATTAAAACAAAAATACCTATGAAGTGCCAGTATCCAGCACCTCTGAGCAAGGTTTGCATTACCCATATCGCCCCTCGGTTCACTGCAAATTTCCTGGTCTGCATTTTCGTTTTAACCCTAAAAAAATTTCGACTTCAAGAGTTGATTTATTAGTGATTTTTTTACTCCTATCATCACCTTGAAAGTTGAAGATTTGATTTTGCATTACACAAGAAGTCCATTATAACCAAGTAGACAGAATGCTAACAGATTTGCCAGACTCCATATTTTCGCTGCACCAAGTATTTGTGTTCAAGAAGCTTTGTTCAGCCATTCACACTATCATATCAAGATCATCTCAATCTATGACAGCAGAAAATCTATCCACATGCACTAAGATGAAGAGTTGCCTTCAGAAATTCTGTATTCCTTTTCTTCTTATTGCAGAATGCATAAAATAACATTCAAAATGTGTACATCCATTTGTATTTATTTTTTCTTTTAATATATAATATACAAAATTTTATGTGGTGAAAGACCTACCACAACAACCAGGCAGCTGCAAGGCCAGGAGGTTACAACAATGAAATGACATGCATCTTACTTCAATAATGCACCTGTGGTATTTGTAAATAAATAAATAAAAATTAGAGATCAATTCTTCTCTGTGTTTCTGTGGAGGTTGAATAAATAAAACCCCAACTCTTTCTTTGCCCATAGTTGCTTTTGGGTTAAGCCACAATTTGCAGAGCCAAGATTAAAGTATGCTTGCAAACAATGCCCTTCATGGTCCAGTACCCTTCTCCAACCAAACCTTCCCTCTTACCTTCCGTAAGGAATGTAGATTTTGTAGACTGAAATCCACCAAATTTTACTATCTATTTTATACCAATGCTACGGCCAATTTTGATACATTTATCTGGACTGTTTCCACATTTCCTGAACTTCATTCCTTAAAAGCTGACCTGACCTTGATCTGAAAAATGTAAATTGCATCAAAATCCTAGGAGATATAATATTTATCCTACCATCGCGAATGTGAATAACCATAAGCCTTCCAATTATCCTGCCAATTTCGCCGGTAGTCATTTCTCTCATTTGAATTGCAGCGCGTATATGATGTTCTTCTATAAGGGCTGCTTCCATTGTTTTCCTTTGATGCTTTTCTAATTTCCTCGTCAAGATCATAATCTGACCGCTGTCAATTAAAAACAACGCATCAAAATGAGGCAATAAGATGCTAATCAAAATAATGTAAACAGAAAAAGAGAATGTTTTTTAATTGACATCCCAACTAGAATTTGTAGATAAATCTCAAACCTCATTCAAGTTGAATTTAGGTTGACAGGTTTAAAGTTGAATTTGACCTTACGCAAAAAACTTAGTTCACTATTCAGAAAGACAAACACAGAGAATATATGATTTCAGTACATGTGCTCACTAAAAGCAGGCTGCAGAGAACAGGGAGGGAATAACACCATCGTGTGATCTCCAAGTCACGTCTATTCAAGTCATATAGCATCAAGAATGAACTTACTATTTTCTTCACAGATATCAAAAGTCATTGGGCAGCCAAATTAAGCATCTTTCATTGTAGCGTACAACGTAGAGAAATTTTATAATACTCAAGGAGTAACTACTGCACATGTACAATAGTCACTCCATGAGCCCACTCGATAGAGAGAGAGACACAAAAAGGAGAGAGAAAATTAAAAAAAAATTTGTAGCAGAGAGAATTGAAAAAAAAAAGAGCCAACGTAGAAATCTTCTCATCACTTTTAGTAGGTCCAGATGCAATTCTCTCTTTTTTTTAATCTCTCTCTCTCCCTTCTCAAAAGTAGACCCATGAAGTAACTACTGTACATGTACAGTACTTACTCCTTGAGTATCATAAAATTTCTCATACAACATAATATAGGAGACTGAAAGGGAAAAATAAATAAACAGATCGTGAATGAGCATTCAACATATTCCCTTCTAGTTCACTGGGTCATGCATAGCGGAAAGGGAAAACAAAGAAAATGTTAAAAAGGACTACGAATGAAGGAACTGGAGCAAATGAGTCAAGAATTATAAGGCAACACATTATTCTTCCTTCTGAGAATTGTTTAAGTGCTGGTGATGGTTTCAATGGTAGAAATGTTTTTGGGTGGGGTTTGTGTTAATGTATTAAATAGTGTGTTAATGTGTTAAATAGTGATAACTGGGAATTGATTGTGGATGGTAACATGGAGGCATCGATGGTGAAGCTAATTATCACAATAAACTAAGCCAATGTGGGTCGTGTAAGATATTAGTTGGGCATGTCCTTAAAAGAAGCTGAGATTGTTTTTGAATTCTTACCATTTTTATAGCCGGCTCTACCAGAAATGCAAAGGCCATTGCTGCATTGTTATAGTCATGGTATTGCAGCAACAGTCATTGCCATGTTATATTTGGTGGTAGCATTGATCATGTCGTAATGGTTATCATGTATGGCGGCAACAATGGCAGTGGTACTATTGATGATGTTTATAATAGAAGGAGCCATGCTTGATGGTCATGATGATGATAAGTGGTGGCATGGTGTTGATAGAAGTGGTGGGCAGTGGCTATGTGTAGTAGAGGTGCTGGTAGCATAGTGAATGTAATTGGTGGCAATGAGTTGTGGTTGCAACAGTGATGATTGTGATATTGACAATGATATTTCAGTTTTTTACACCAACCAAAGCCCAAGTATACATCACATACATGTGCATTCACACATGCAAATTATATACAATCCATTTCCATTTTCAATTAACTGCTGATAATCAAAAAATCAAAAAAAAAAAAAAAAGAATGCTTCATTCCAGAAATCAAGATGATTGACTATAATAGCCAAACAGACATTGTGGGTTTGAAGGTGTAAAAGGCTAGCAAAGGCAATTAAAAGGCGAAACACACATAATGAGATAGAAATCGATGACAGTACAGGTATTTGAAAAGAGACCGCTGCTCAAAATCTAGAAAAAAGCTACACATTAGCCTTATCAAGTTGAAATAACTTGGATAGCAAACCTTAGTGGGGTCTGAGAGCACTGCATATGCTTCTCCAATCATCTTAAATAGCCTGTCAGCATCTGCATGAACCTCCTGGACAATTTCCTTCCAGAGCCACCCATCATCCCCACTTTCACTTCTTGCCAAGAACTGACCAGCCTACAAATGAAAAAAAATAAAAATAAATAAATATAAGAGGAACCTGTAAGATTTGAAACAGGTCCAACAGTCATAAGTATGCAGGTGTCAAAAGCTAAAAACCTTGTCTGGGTGATGTTTAAGTGCTGCTTTCCGGTATGCCTTTTTTATATCAGACGCCATGTCAGAATCCTTGACTCCCCTGGCAAACCAATTGTTCGTAGTCAGCAACTTATAAATGTATAATATGCTGCAGTTAAAAAGTATGGCCAGAAAATAGCCTCAACTGCTTTATACACAAATATTGCCAGGTTCAAAAGCCCAGGAATGTGGAAACAGTCCAGATTAAATACAAGTAAAACAAGCAGAACCTTATTTTTTTCGGTGAAAGGATTACGCGTAACTTGGCAGGTTCAAGGTATTTTTACAATTCTCCCAAAAAAAAAAAAAACACACACACACAAACAAAGCATGAAGAAGACAGAAAAGAAAATGGTGCTTCAAATTCTTAATTAAAGAGCTTTACCAAGTTTCAAATTGTCAACAGATACATTAGCATCTTGTAACAAAAGGAGAAGCATACATATACTGAGATAGAATTGAAATTTATGCTAGGAAAAGGTTCAGCTTTGTAAACCATGACAAGGAAAATAATAATTTTTACGGAACAAATCAGGCACCAAGACCACAATAACTCTGGAAGCACCGCACACAAGCTGATTTAATTAGAACGATAGCATCCAAACATACAAACATGATCTTAGTCCATTGAAAGCATTGGGTCTTGAAAGTCCCAAAATGACTTACAGAATACGATATAAATCCAATTGGATTCCTTTCTTAGCCTCCTCTTCCAGTAAGGACAGATGCTGACGAGCTTGCCTTAATTCTTTTGTCCTGCTGGTGGATCTAACAGGTTTGCTGGACTGTCTGACTTTTTCATCAGATTGATTACCAAGAATGGATACAAGTCTTTGTAGGTCACTGACTGCCTGTCCATAGTCTCTAATCATCTCATGCAAAGCTGCTCTTCTGGAAACTGCCTGCACCAGATACATGCAGTTGAGCAATTAACAGTAAGTCAATCAGGCAAACATGAAAACTATTGGGAAAACAGTCGCTAAAAACTGATGTCTATATATCACATTCCTTTTAAGTAAACTAGGCTTAATTCTTCCCACTTATGGAGCAAACAGTCAGGAATCATTTAGGGAAAATATGCTCATCAAAGGATGCAATTCATAGTATGTATTTGCATTATTAACAATAAATTTAGTTTCCTATTCAAAGAAACATTTAGTTTCCTTGTGGAGATCCATATAATCAACTAGCTGGCGACAAAACATATATTATAGAGATAAACCTTTGAGTAATTTCCATCAAGGGCTACAGCCAGGCTGCAATCAGCAATGGCATCAGCAATCTGCCCCAATGCTTGGTGTGCAGCAGCACGGTTTCCAAAACAAATTGCTGCAAAAGGGCGGGATTCAATATTGTTTGATAAAGCGGCAGTATAATGCTCTACAGCTTCTGTGTATCGTCCTGATCGAACTGCTTCATTCCCAGCACTCTGTAATCAGCAAGAATGATAAATTGGCTCAATAGGAAGAATATTGAGAAAAGGCATGATAAATTGGTTCAATAGGAAGAATATTGAGAAAAGGCATTAAGTAAGACCATGGAATATGTTATCAACCACAAGACTGACAGAGGGAACCAAGAACCAAATCAAATACCAAACACAAATCACTTGATCTGACTTCATACACAATCTTTAGCAATTGAAATGTTCATTCCTGTCCTAATTTTCTAGTGATGTCAATTGTCAAATAAGTATTAACACATTGCAGATTTTGCAATAAAAGAACTCCCATCAATGGAATTACTTGACCAAATCTACATTGTTAAAAGTCCTTCAAATCAGCAATCCAATCTAATCAACCTCGTGCATCCACAATACCAAAAGCCACCCAATTATCATTAAAAAAGAAAATAAAAATAAAAAACCTGTTCATACTTTGCAATTTTTCAATGTCCATACACTGTTAAAAAATTAGCATGAAGAAAGAAAACAGTTAGAAGATTTGTGATCATCTGCTTACATTGGGCACAGATTAAGACAGACAAATAACAGCAACGACATAGTAATGACAAATCATAACATTATGTACAATATAATATGCACATAGTATGTAGATACAGCTTAGTATGGCATATAGATTGTTGATTTTAACAAAAGTTTTACGGTTTGACAAGCTGACAACCAGTTGTGTCAAAATCAAGAAACAAAAAGACATAAATACAATGCAGCCTTATTCCCCAGTATTCTAACCCAACTACAACATTGAGCATGACATTCATGTTATAGATACCATCGCAAATCATATATCATGTTGAAGAATCAAAGGAGGGAAGCGAGCATAAAGCAATCAACATAATACCTTATGATGTAAAAGATCACGTATGGTGACAGCTAATGTAACAGATGTTTCCAATATCTTACCTGCATTTGCGTACCTGCATAATTCAAATTATTATCAGGGACCTCAAAGCTGTTCTGAGAAAAGAATGCCAAAATTAACATGCATGCATTAAAAGCAGATTTGCATTGATGAAATGATGTACTTACTTGTAACTGATGGATCCCATTTGCTCTAATTTCTCAAGTAAATCGAGAGCCACCTCAAGCTTTCCCAAATAAAAGTAGGACTTTGAAATTAATTGCCATCTCCACACCCTTGCAAATGAGCAATTTTCACTTTCAGAACAGCCAATATCCGCAAACTGCCCATCTGCACCTATTGAAGCAAAGTTCTTTTCAGCAGCACAAAGAGTCTCCTCGCATAGCTGAATCACTTCTTTATACTTCCGCAACTACAAAATGCCACCAAAACAGCCTATGATTAGAAGAAGCCCAAAAGCAAACAAATGAGATACTCATAAGGGCAGCAATTTATCAATTGCCTTTCTTCAGTATTCCTCATTATTTAGTCACTTGAACACAAGCAAAAGAAAATGCTAAAAGAGTACAGACCATAAAAAGAAACTCCGCTTTCATTTCCAGTAATCTTTCTGAGTAGGGGCTAATTGACAATGCCTCAGCAATCACATCTAGAGCACTAAGTGCTGCACCATATGTTCTCTCTTCCAAAAGCTTTGCAGAACGATTTGTGCACTCTGCCACTTTCTGGAAGCAAGGAAAACCACTTGAACAGTCATGGGATTTATGTATTGCAAATGCATTCCCGGATAGCAGGAAAGAAAGAGGAAAGAAGATCCAAAAGACAAATAATTCCAACCAAGCATGTCACAATGACAGGATGATTAGCTACGAGACAAAACCATTAAGAAGCAATTTCTGATAGCCCATCCAAAATGCAAAATCAATTAAATATGAAGTGCCTATTTTTGTGTCCTGATACACATTTTGCATTCAAAACAGTTCTTTCTATATTTTAGAGGCCAATTTAATGATGACAATGACTATTAAGATATATTTATACTGCCTGTAGGATATCATGTTTGTTAAACATAATCTGCCAGAAATGGAAACCTAGCTGCTATCCTATTAAGATTTAGAACTTCATTATTCTGCCTAATTCGGAGTTCCTGCTTGGAAAGGTAATATTGCTTAAGGAAAAAAGGTATAGAATATTCCAAGGGGGAAAGTAACCTATATCCTCTATTTCTCTCTTCTTTTATTCAAACTTTTAAAATACAACTATTTTGGAAGCAAGATCAATATACAATTAATGAAAAGCATCACATGTCTACTACCATAAGTTGATCACATCAGCACCACTGAAGCCAACAAATGCATACCTGAGCTTTATGTAGGCCATCAGCAGCTTCTATTGTGGTTCTTCGATCCAAACACACACCAGCTCCAGATTCCAAGCACTTATTAAAATAGTGAAGTGCATCCTCAACTTCTCCCAGCTGAAGATGGCAACTGGAAAGGAAAAAAAAAACACACGCACATCATTTTCAAGCACATACTACATCATTCAAAAAGGAGCAAATTAGGTCAATAAACAGAAGTATAGATGCCATATGCAATCTACATATAAATTCAACCAAACACCTCCCATCCTTCGGATGAAGTCAACATGTGAAAAATGAAAGTTCAAAGAGAGCCATTCTCAGGCTCGATGCAAATGATGTTGTTCACAAGTTCAAGAAAGCATTCTATTGAACGAGTTCTTACCATAAAAAAACCCCACCCTAGAAGCAAACCCCCTAAGAAAAGCGCAAAGGAAGATATGACATCTAAAACAAATCACCAAACTTATTTCAGTCAACTACTTCAATCAAAGAAAATCTTTAGTTTGAAAAATTGTGCACCAAAAAAAAAAAAAAACCAAAAACAAAAACCATATGAATGACAAATCAGATATGAATTTTGTTGCATGCACCACAAGCAAAAAATTAATAAGATCATTGTAGCCCACGCAAAGGACTTACTTAGCAGCTCTTATTTGAACTTTGAAAAAGTTGGGATCTAGACCAGCAGCCTTTATGCAATCCCTTAATGCTTCCCTCATGTTTCCAAGAGACATCCGTGTTGCTGCACGGTTGCTATAGCAAATAACAAGAGGCTTGAGGCAGCATCCTGACATCTCATTAGAAGAAATGGAATTTATGCCACATGTGTAAAACTCCTCAGCTTTCAACATATCCCCATTTTGATAAGCATGATTTCCCCTGGTAACAACGAAACCCTATCCAACTTAAGTATCAAATGCACGGTCTCAAAAGTAATATATACTAGTACACAGCAATAAACAATATACGGACGATTTAGCCATTTATAGATTTTATGTAACAACCACCTTGCTCGCCACATCTCGCATCCTTCCAGAACAGAGCCGACAGATGAAATTGAACCTTGCTTCACCAATTCATTTATTTCAGATTTATTCCCCACCTTTCTTTGTGGAGTAGATAAATCATCTTTTTGACCCTGCATAACGTCAAAAGCTATATATGAAGAAGTGCTGGCCTATGGTGGAATTTGGACTGAACAATAATGTACTTTGCTTACATTTGGGTTTGGGGCAACAACAAATGGTTTGCATGGAGGTTTCCTCCTATATTTCTTTATATACTGACGCTTTGGTGTTGATGAACTAATTTGTTCAGAGGATGAAGCAGAAAAGGAAAATTTTCTCCCACCTATATCTTCCAAACCTGCAGCAAAGGAAAATTGCATTTGATGGCAGCTTTCTGTCTTTAATCCATGTGTAACTTCAGTGGAAGCAGTACCAGCATCACTGCTACCAACCTGCTCAAAGTTGAAACCAGAGCAGGCCATTTCAGCTCCAAAAACAAACCCTTTAGAGATATAATCCCCCATGAAACATCTTTCAGAACCAGAACCAAAACTCTCCTGGTTCATCTTCTCTCTAGGCTTCCCATCATCTTTATTAACATCTAATCCTTGACTCTCTTTGAGACCACCAATCACTGTTGAATGCAAGATAGAGGGTGCACAATTATTTTCTTGGTGGTTGGAATCATTTGATGTCACAGAATTTCCGTGATAAAATTTCTCAGCTGCAGTAGTTTCCTCATAAGGAGAAAAATCCATTGGTGAGTAGCAACAGGGGGAATTTAGATTTTCCTGGCCACTCATTTCATTTTGCGCATGATCTTGCTCTGGCTGTTGCTTACATAAGGAATCCTGCTTCAACTTTATCCTCATTTCTGATCTTTTGCCCTTCTTTGATCTGCTATTCGCAGTAAATTCTGGTTTCTTATTTGATTCAGGAAATAGACTTGTTTTTAAACAAGAAGGATCCCATGGTGTTTTGAAGTCTGTAAAGGGCATCCCTAATCCACCCAGAATGCCTGTTGAACTACTTTTGTTATTTTCCTTTCCAACTCCAGCCATGCTTGTTGCTTCAGACACTCCATCGTTTACATGAGAGTCAAAACCAACTGATGCTGATGAAGATAGAGGAGCAGCTTCATTGAGTTGTGAATGACTCTCGAAAAAACTCTTTGTCAATCCTGCCTGAAATGTAAATGATTCTGAACTCGAAATTCCAATAGAAGCTGGATGACAACTTCTGTCCTTGTCACTGGATTCAAATTTGTCACCGTCAGAACCCATGGCTGCATTCTGTTCAGAAGAACAAGTATCTGAACTTCCATTAGAAGAGGCAGAAGCCTTTTTACAGCTTCTGATCACAAATGAAGAATCACCATTAGCAGATGAATTCTTGCTGTCAGCTCCATGTACATTATTGAACTCATTAATGCTAAGTTTCTTAATCTCTTCTGGGAGATTAAATATTGGGTTCGTGCTAGAAGCACTAGCTACATTACTACTATTTGCAAATATAGTGAACTTACACTTATCATTGACACTAGAATTCAGATTACCATTTTGATCATTTGAAATGCTGTAGTTTAAAAAAGTTTCACCGCTTGGCTTGACCTCAACAGGGCAGTTTGTAACCACACATTCATCGGGATTGAAACTTTTCTCGCTGCTACAACCAAACACAAAAACACCCTTACTGTCACCTTTCATTTTATGAAGCTCGGCCTCATTTTTTACCTTAATCTTCCCTGTATCAGGAAAGACTGAAATTCCAGGACTTTTACCAGTTTCCCTCTTTCCCTCATCCGAATTTAACTTTCCATCAGACCAACTTGCACCAAACACAAAACCTGAACCAGAAACCCCCACGTTTGTACTGGAACCATCATGAGTAGCACCAACCACAAAACCAACATCATCAGAATCCAACTTCACCCCACTCCCACTACAGTCTCCCTTATTGGAATTCAAACTCAATCCCAATTCGCTCCTGTCATCACAAAACTCAGAGTCCCCCACATTACTGACCTTTTTGCTCTCTACTTCGCCTACATTCACACCACGCTCATTCAATTCACTCTTATCTAAATCAAATTTCACCCCAACATTATTACCATTAGCACCAAACACGAAACCCACATCACCAAACTCCCCATCCTCCACTTTTGCATCCAAAGTTGGCTCCTTATCTCCCAATTGTCCCACATTTCCACCAAATTCTGTTTCTTTGAAATCCAATTCTACTCTAGAATTCAAATCAAAATCTAAATTCCCACTTTTTACACTCCCGTTAGCACCAAACACAAAATCCACACCGGACACACTACTATTCTCGTTTAAATTACTACCACTGCTACAACAGTAGTTAATTGCTGATTTAAACGGGTTAAAACCCGACCCGGACCCTAACTCACCTGGAACCGCTCCTCTGTTCCTCCCATGTAACCGCCTCCTCAACTTCACCAGCCTCGGTCGCGCATGGCCCAACCCCGTTTGCGACCCGTTTTTATTCATATCGATTTCGCTTGGGTTACCAAAAACCGGAGCATGTACGGTTTGGCGGTGGTTATTTGGTATTGGATTGGAGTTAGGGTTTTGGGGAGTGTAAGGGTGTTTGGAAGTGACCGGTGAACTGATATCGACGGCCGCAGCCGGTGACATTTGAGGCAAACAGAGGAGGAGCCTTAGGTTTTCGTGAAAATAAGGTTTTGTTGGGATTGTGAGGTGTTTGGTGATAGGGCTTTGCTTCGTTTTGAAGGAAGCAAGGTAGAGAGAGGGAGAGTGAGGTTTTGACCAAAACAGGGACCTTTTTGGTCTGTAAATTGCACCGTTTGTTGTTCCTCGTTGGATTTGAAAGCCTTGTGTCCACGGGAATAAATAAAATACGAATGGGAAAAATGCTAATGAATGTTTTTTTTTTTTAATATTATTTTCGAAGTGATGAATTTTAGTAAATAAATTTGAAAATCTGTTAGCTAAAAAGGCAAATAGATTAGAAAAGGTTCGTGAATTTGCATAGATTTGTTCGCAACTATTTTATTTAAATGAAATAATTACGAGAGATACAGTTATATGGAATACGTTGAATTATTTATATTTATATTTACAGATTTTTATGGATTTCTTTTACTATTTACAAATAATTTATTTTTCTTTCCATTTCATTCACTTATTTTAATCTAAAAAGAAACTAGCATAGTAACCGCAAAGTCGCTGCGAATAAGTCTATTATATAATATATTTTAGTATTTTTAATAATTCATAAATCTAAGTGCAAAAAATTAACACTAATTGTGAATTTTTTAAATTATATATATATATATATATATATATATATATATATATATATATATATATATATATATATATATATATTTCATAATTGAGTTTAAATATATCCTACAAATATGATCAATAAAAAAAACATATAATTAATTGATTATTTTTTAAAAAGCAAATTAAAAGAATGTGCTAGATCAATTTATATAAAAAAAGAATGTTTAGTTTTAATTAACGAGTCTAGAAAATAAATAAATAAAATAACCATTAGTTATGGAAAAAAAATTTATTTCAAGTAAATAATAAATAATGAAAAAATAGAAAAATAAAAGGTTAGATCTGGACTAGGGATGGCAATGGGGCGGGGCGAGGCGGGATCGCCATCCTTATCCCCGCCCCGTCCCAAAAAAAAAAACTCATTCTTATCCCGTGCCTCGTTCGAGGTGAAATTTCGCTCCCCATCCCCGTCCTAAACGGGATGCGACGAGGATCACCATCTTCATCCTCACCCCGTGCCCCGTTCGGGGCAATGTTTTTACCCCCCATCTCCGCCTCAAACGGAGCGAGGCGGGTTGGATTGCCATCCATAAACCGTACTCACACCGAGCCCTTCCTCGTGGGTTTGGAGACAACCGGGGACACGCAGCTATGCTATTAGCATAATCCAACCATAAAAAATAGATACTTTTTTTGTAACAATAATTAAAGTTAGGAATTGTTTTGTATAAAATAAGAACTCAAAGGATCAAAGTGTAAAAAAACAAAATGCCAAAAAATTATTATTATTATTATTATAGAAAAACGATGTTGTTTTGGTTCACTATAGAATGACTTGATCAGTAGTGAAAACTCATTCTTTCTTAGTTTCTTTATTAGTTAGAACCAAGTGGATAGAATGATTTCAAATTCTTTAATTTAAGTTTTTAAAAGAACAACATGCTCAAAGGAACGAAAAGATGGAATTTGAATTTAGGATAATCCAATCATTTGAGCATCTTACACAACAAAATAGGTACAAGTTTTATACCTTGATTATTATTTAGATTTGTGTAAACAATACCGATGAATGGCAATTATATATAGCGATAAATCTAGGGATATTTGTTTGGTTATTCGATTTGATTTTGAAATATTTTGGACGAGTTTTCGGTTAATCGAATTTTCAAAAAAATAATTGAAACCGAACCGAAATGTTATTCGATTTTTCGATTTGGTTTCGAAATATTTCAATTTTGGTATTCGGTAATTCAATTTTTAGGCATTTTATTTTATTCTATAGATGATTTATTCTATTAAAGTTCTTGAAATCTCCGTTTAGAGTGAGTTTCTTTCTCGCTTTGTGGACTACAACTTAAGAAACTAAGTTATGCCCAAAAAAATAGCAAATGCATTGTTAGATAAACAAATAATAAATTGTCTACTCAAGAAGGCTAGAATTTGAGACGATAAAAATCTACCAACGTCTTTGTTATTTTTTGTACATCTATACTTGTAGCAGAGACAAAAGGAGCACATATGAAGTCGTGGAATGAAGTGCATCAAGGGTAGAAGGGTTTTTCAATTTGGAAGAGTACCGAGTGATCTAACTTTGAAAAAAAAAAGATACATACACACACACACACACACACACACACACACACATATATTAAAATTTTTGATTTTTTGGTTAACCAATTTTTTTTTTAAACAATAATCGAAATCTAATTTGAAAAGCTAAATTATTTCAGTTTGGTTTTTTATTTTAATTTCTAAAAAAAATCGCATCGAAATTGATATTTCGGTGCAGTTCGATTCAGATTATTTGGTTTTCACCGAATACTAAACATCCTTAGATAAGTCAATTCATAGATGTATTGTAAAATTTGATTTCAACACGATACAATAAAGTTTCTCCACATATCGCTAAAAGTATTGTATTAAGAAGATATAACACATGACAACTATATATATATATATATATATATAGAGAGAGAGAGAGAGAGTTAATTAATTCGATTGTTAATTAGTTGAGTCTTTGTTAATTAGTTAGCTCAATTAGCTTTCTTAGTTAGTTTTTACTTTCTTTTTTGGTTTTATAAATCGGTAGAATGAGAGAGAGGTAGGTGGTTGTAACTCGAATGAATCAATTGAGATTTCATTTCTTTTTCTTTAACTTTTCTTCTCCATAAAAAACGATAATAAAGCTTGAAAGTTAGTGGTTTCATACCAAATTTGTTAGCTATTTTTAATCTTAGTTTCTTCATAGTTGTTACCTTAGACCTTATCAATGGCGCATTCTTCTCTAAACTCTTTGATTGAAGATTCACAGTCTCTTTATATCCTTCATCACTCGGATAATCGCGGTATTATGATTGTTTTGTCATAGTTAACTTTTAACCAATTATACTTTTTGGAATCCGTTGTTCTTGCTTGTGCTTTCAATTCATAATAAAGCTGGATTGTTGATGGAACAATTCCTACACAAGTTAATAATCATTTAATGTATGGTTTATGGCTATGATGCAATAATATTATCATTTCATGGTCGTTTTAGTCAATTTCACCTCTAATTACAAATAACTATTTCTATATAGGCTCAATTGTAGAGATTTTAAAAGTTTTGAAGAAATGCTTCTCTCAAGTCATTGACTCCAAAATCTACATTATACAACATGCTTTATGTATTATCAATCAAGATAATCTCAATGTGGATGAATATTTCACCGAATTGAACTCTGTTTGGAAGAAATTAATGAATTTTTAGGCTTTTGTCTCATTGTGAACGTGAATAGCGTAATTCAATTTATTTCAAGAAGTTTATAGATTTTAAATAGAAGGATTATATGTTTCATTTCTTGAATAGAATGAATGAGTCATTTACTCGGTTTGAGGTCACATATGATTATGATAAAACCTTTTCCTTCACGTACCGAGGTTTATAATTTGATGGTTAGAAAAGAATCACAAAGAGTTATGCGAGTGTCAATTTCAATCTTTCTTAGACGCTTAAGCCATGACAACTAGAGAAAATTTTCAAAACGTACCTAAAACAACTTTATGTGTGCATACTATGAAAAATCCGAACATACTAAGAAAATGTGTTTTGTTTTATTTGGTTTTCCTGCTAGTTATAAATTTGCAAAGAACAGAGAAAATTCTTCGATGGTGAATTATTTTAGTTCACAATCAAATAAAGATTTAGTTGCTTCGTTAATTTTACAAATGCTAATGGTTATGCAATAGCTACCAACCGAACCATAAGCCCTCTCGTCTTAAGTGTCTTTGACTAAATATTAAGTTCAATAATTAATGACTCTTTTTAATGTTCGGGATGCACAAACATCTCAATCTAGTACACATGAATCGAAGTTTCAGTCAAATTATCTCTTGTATATTCATATCTAGTAAGTATACACTCTTCTAAAACTAATTTCAAGCAAACATCATATTATTATTGCACGTAATTTTCAAAACATTTATGAATTATCGTTCATGGATAGTTGATACAATTGCTTTGGATCATATTACATGTTTTTTGAACTTTTTTGGTTTATTGCATGCTATCAATCATGTCTTTGTATTGCTATCGGATGGTTATAAAGTCCTTACTACTCACTCTAACACAATTTTTTTGTCTTCAAAATCGATTCTTCACAATTTTCTTTATGTTTTTTATTTTTAATTCAATCTTATTTCGGTTAGTAAACTCACTTTTTTTAGCAAATATGTTCTTGATTTTTGTGGTGATTATCATTCGGACACTTTCTTCATAGACAATCGTTCCTCTTTTTTTTTTTTTTAATTAGTATGTTATGAGTTGTAAGTGGACATATAAGGTCAAACTTCATGTCGATGGGAGTGTTATAAGGCTAGATTAGTAGCCAAAGGGTATTCTAAAAAAAAAATTTCATGAGACTTTTAGTCTTATTGTCAATCGGATAACAATGAGATTGTTTTTAGCTCTTGCAACTTTTCAACATTAACATTTATCTCGGATGGATTCAATAACATTTTTCTTAATGGATATTTGGATGGGAAACTATACATTAACTTTTCTTTAAGACATTAGGTCCGGGGAACATATTATGGGTTAAAGCAAGCATCCAAGCAATAAAATTCTAAACTTGTTGCTTCCTCGTTATCTTTTAGATTTTCACAATCTAGGGCAAATTATTTTGTTGACTAAAAGAGTTTCTTCAAATGTTTTTCTTGTTTTGCTTGTTTATATTGATGACATTATTATTACAAGCAATTTTGTAGAAGTTGTTAAAGAATTTAAAAAGTATTTAAACTCTCGGTTCATGATGAAGGATTCGAGCGAGGTTGAAGTTTTTCCTTAGTATAGAAGTTGCTAGATGCCTAGATCACCAAAAAGGATATTTTTATGTCGAATAAAATATGTTCTTGACCTATTGATAAAACATAGAATGCTAGAAGTCAAACCAGTCATACTCCAATGGATCCCGATATCAAATTGATACAAACAGATTCTAAATTCTTAAAGGATCTAACATTTTATAGACCGTTGGTAAGAAAGTTATTGTATCTAACTTTGACAAGACTTGATATTTCTTTTTCTTTTTTTACCGATGTGTTTTCTTAATTCATTGACAAACCTACAAATATATACTTGCAAGCGACTTTTAGAGTTTTGAGATATTTAAAATGTGCACTTGGTTAAAGTATATTGTTTTTTAACAAAATCTAATATGCAAATGCAGATTTATGCAAATGATGACTGGACAGGTTGCATAGACTTTTGAAGATATATCACACATTACTATGTTTTTCTTGATGATTCTTTTATTAGATGAAAATCTAATAAGGGTTCTTTAGTAACTAAAAGCTCAGCTAAAGCAAAATATAAAGGTACAGCTTCTAGTTATTGTACATTAATTTAGCTACTGTTTTTACTAACAGATTTGGGTTTTAAACAGAAGAATGCAGTGATGTTCAAATATGACAATCAATCAGCTATTCACTTAAGCAAGTAAGAATCTTGTTTGTACGAGAGAGCAAAGTGTATTGGGATTGATTTCCATTTTATTAGAAAAAGGATTCTTACTAGGATTATAAAGTCTTAGCACATCCCAGCAAACTCGTAGCTTATAGATTTATCCATATAGGTCTTGCAAACTGTACAAGATGCATTGCTGACTTCCATGCTTCTTTTGGAGATGAGCATTAAGAAGATATAACACATGATAGCCACGTGGATATTAAGAAATAATAGGGTAATTAAAATAAACTTCCATTAAAAAACAAATATATTAAGAAATGGGGTAAAAGGAAAATGCTAAAAAAAAATGAATTAGACCCCTTTCACACACAACCTGGACTAAAATGTTTTTGTCAAAAAAAAAAAAAAAAAAAGGAACAAAAAATCCCAAATGAAGACTTATTAGCAAAAATTTTAAATATAAGAACCAAAATAAATTTTCAAAAAATATAGGGAATGATAAGAAAATAAGAGAGAAACTATTTCTTTGCAGTTATAATGAGGAGTCTGGACATGCTCTAGGTATGGCCTCCAAACGGTGTGACCTATATATAGTGGCTAAGGTGCTCGTTCACCTCGCTAGGAAATTTTTATTTTTTATTTTTAATCAAATGATATTTTTGGATTAACTTAATGTTTTATAGGGTTGTCTTATTTTCATTTCCTCTAGCAATTTTTACAAAGAACATGAGAAATCCAAAAAGGCTTGACTGATTGAAGTACAGTAAAAACAAAAGAGAAATCATACTGAATCAAAGGAATTCTTTAATAATTACTACAGAAACAAAATCACATTCATGAAAGCAAATATGTTGTGGTAACATTTTAGATCTACACACTAATACATTACACCGGACAACAAGTCCTTAAAGCAATCCTACATATACATACATATGTATGTGTATGTGTATGTGTATATATATATGTATGTATATGTATATATAGCCATTTTTGACATGGGGCGGAAGATTTGAGCAGGGATTTGTCTGGTCCGGACAGTGTCGCAACAAAGCAAAACCGTCGTACAAATGATCAGTTGAAAAACCAAGTGTCTCCCAGAATGGGCATCCACGTTGAAAGCCAAAAGAAAAGACTCCCTCCTCCACCTTCCCACACAACAAACAAACAAACAAACAAAACAAAACGCCTAATAAATACTACGCCGTAGCAACAAAGGTGGCAGAATAAGCACAGCACAGGACAGCAAAGCAAAAGCGACTCTCCTCTTTTCTTTTCATTTCTCTTTTCTTAGGTAAGCTCAATCATCGTTTCTGCTTTCAAAACCCTAGAACATGAAAAATCTTAATCACTATACTATTTTTCATTTCTTTTTGCTTCACTAAAAATGAAATTAATGACTAAAAAGAAAAAAAAACCGAGTCTTTTAGTTTCTTGTGTTGTCTCAGTTTTAAATTTATGTATCGCGATATGTTATTGATGATTTTTTTTTCCCTCAATAGGAAATGCTAATAGCGTTGATAGTTTTTGTTTTATCTTTGCTTAATTGTTGCTGTATTAAATTTGATTAGATATATTTTCTTTTATTTATGCGAAAGTGTAGATTGAATTTTTTTTTATGATGCTTAATTGTTTATAATTGATTAGGACCATCCGTTCAAAATTCAAATTCAAGTGTTTTAAAGTCTTAATGCTAGCAATTAGGGATTAGTTCAAACTTCAGAGGATGTTAGTGAAATGTGAGAAAATTAGTAATGATTATTATATTGCCCGTAATTCACTGCTAAAATGATTTTAGTGAAGTGCCGAACCAGCTATACATTGCGCGTTAAGCTTTTAGATTTTAGCCAATTTTTTATTTTGTTTGAGGAGGGAGGAAATTTCTTTGACTTGCTCGGCATCATTTTCGGTTACGAAGTTCTTTGCTTCAAAAAATGTAGTCTTATCAAGGCTGGATGTGCTTTAGGATCAGGGTTGCTGGATCGTGTGTTGTCAATATGGAATCATGACTAGAGTTAGTTAAGATCAAGAAACCACGATCTTCAAGCTTCAAAACTTTCTCAGACAACTTATTTTTGACAATGAAATGTTTGAATACATTTTACTTGTCAAGTGCATGAAATCTTACAGCATCTTTATTTATAAGAACCGATGTTTTTCTCCAGTTGTCACTTTTATTAATGTCTTTTTCAGTCATTGTTAAGTTTCTCTTCATGCTGTGTGTTTTGTGCTAAAATTCATTTAGCTGCCAGCCACAGTGTAATACAATTCATGGAATCTTACAATAGTTACTGTTTTAGTAGGCTTTTTTTTTTTTCCAGAGGATTTTTGGAGGATTTACATTCACGAGAACCATTTGGGTGATCTTTTTGCGCTTCATGGATCACAAGTCAGCCGAGGTTTTACATGGTATGAACTTGTGTATCACTTGTTGAAATAGAAATTAACTTCTTCAGTTAGACTGTTGCTCTACAGTTTGTTGTGCTATATATTTTTCATGACCTGGGAGATTCTAAGCCAATTTGGGCTTATAGGCAGTCCTTTTGAGCATTTCATTTTAGAAAATTGTTTCTTATTTTGATTTTGCACAAATAAGGGACTTGGGAATGAATTTCATACACATAACAATTAAACTTATCAGAGAATTTAATGGAATACTGCGAGGTTCTATGCTCAGCCTGCTGTTTATTATTGATTCTTTAAGTATGAATGTGCATGACTTTATGGCACTTTGCCTCTTGGATCTTTTGGTGGATTGTGATAGAATTGTTGTTTAGAAGTGTTTATCATCCTATTTTTCATATGAAACCCCCTTTCATTTTGACAACTGCACCATTAGACTGGGTAAATGGATGTGAAAGGAGGTTGCTTTTAGAGAACCCAGACCTTTTGTATGAATGCATTTCCACCAGTAACGTGCTACACAACAACAGCAGAATTAGCAATCTTAGCATTGTGTGGGAAAGTGAAAAATCAATAATGTGCCCTTAATTATTAAAGCACAATGTTGTTTACTATGAAATTGAGATAGAAGATGCACACTCAGCGCTGATTTTAAAGTATCTTTGAAGTGATAGCGACTTTTCTCCCAATTATAGCTCCCATTTGAGTAAAAAATATCGAACTAGGTCGTAATAGATGCCTCTCTTATGTTGATGTGTCGAAGTCTTAATGATGAATTCCATAAAAATATTTTCTTAAGGTATTTTGCAACTCAACATCAAAATGAATAAAGCACTGTCGCTGTTTTCTGCTTTTAGCAATCTGAATTATAAAAAGGTTTCTGCCTCCTCTAATGGAAGTTCAGACACTTTTATTTATCAGAACGTTAAGATTTTCCCATATGAACATTGCCGACAATGAGAACATGAAGTGCTCAGGCTTGTTGAGGTTGTTGAACTTAATTTTTTTTTTTTTTATTGTACGTCTGGAGCAACCATATATGGCTACTCGAGATTTTGTCTATGACCTAAATAGACTTTGATATTGAAGTCTCACTTCTATTTATGAATGAAGTTTGCTATGAGACCCAGCTTAAATTTCTCTTTCATTTGTGATAAATATGCCAGTTTTATCTCATTCTATTTCTTTTTTTATGAAAGTATATTACGTGCAAATGCTGGCATTCGTTTGTTAGTTTGTAATCTTTTTCCTGGATGCCCCAGATGCTTATGAAAGCAGAACAAGGAATGGAGCAACTGAATCCGATTGTTCCAAGAATGATATGAAGGATATTCCAAGACCTGGTCCAAGTACTCCAGTAGATAACATGAAAGTTAACTCGGTCGAATGGAAAGCGCCGGAACTTGTTTCTCCAAATGCTACTATAGAGAATATATCTGGGGAAGTAAACATGGAGGCTTCCATAACACCAGATGATGTTGTACGGGCTGGAGGCTTTGGAGCTAGAGATGATATAAGTAGCTTTCTTCCTGTTGCAAGTGATTCAACTGACTTTGAAGCAACAATCCTTGATGCTAGAAACTATGAAGAGCCACAGGGAGAAATACACAGACCAGGTCTTGGCTGGACAGAAGCAACAGAAAGGAAGTCTTTTGTCAATCCTTAAGACCTAGTTGCCATGGACAGCTCTTTCTTTTGTTTCTGGCTTCTGACAGTTTGTGGTATGCTCATAACATGCAACTCTGTGGTTTGTATTTGTTAATTATTAATCTCATGTTTCTGTTTGCATGATTTGGTATGCATGGGTTGCAAATAGATGCTTTCTCCTTGCTGGTAAAAATGAAAGAAATTGGTATGCATGGGTTACAAATAGATGCTTTCTCCTTGCTGGTAAAAATGAAAGAAATTTAATTGCATGGTATGTTTTAAATCACCCTGAGCTAATAACACAAGCCTTCTTTACAGAATTATCTACTTAAAATTTTCATGTTTATTAACAAAAATGTTAAATGGCCTCCTGACGCTTTACTCTCTATTATCCCGAGGATTGTTATGGAAACCCAACTTCCTATCAGAACTTCTAACATTAGTAATTTACAGTTGTAGGCATTATGTGTCCATATTTGCCGTAAGGAACCTTTTCCTAATATTTATCATGCACGAGAGGCCAACATCATGTGAATGTTAATTTCCTTCTGAAGATTCTTTGGCCAGGAGCTAGGATTGCCATTGGGTCATAAGCTGATTTCCTTCGTACAAAAACTTCCCACTGTGGACCAAAATGAGTTTGCCATTCTTCCTGGGTGGTGTAATGAGGCAAATATTGCTTGGCCCCAAGACTGGCCGTGGAGCAGAAATCTAGAATTCTTTGGTTTTGGGCCAAAACGTGAAGCAAGCCATCTCTTCCTGTGGAAGTTGGCATTGCAGAGGATAAAAATGCCACTAGGTAGAAAGTATCTTCTTCTGGGGTGATCAAAGATGTCCTGTTGTTCCACCTGCAATGTGAAAGAAAAATCAGTTAGATAACATAATATTTTGAAAAGTGAGGGGAATTTAATAATTCTTTTTCTTTTTCTTTTTTTCTGTTGGCATGAGAGTACTTGGACTTATTGACTGGATAGATGATGATTGGACCATTGCTATTGTCTGAAAGAATATTGCCAAAGACCTCTTGAGCAAATTCAAAGATTTTGTTTTTTGGGATTAGAAGATTCAGCCATGGGTGAGGAATCTCCCATAAACCTTTTGCTCGGAGTTTGATTTCAGACAGGTGGACTCTATCCAGGAATTCCACATAAGAAACTTCTGACATAAACAGTGTGGATGGAACGTATCTCAGTTCTGACAGTAGGCGCTCAGTTTTCTGCATGAGCGAGAAACAAGGTTAGGAACAAGGAGGTCGATTAAGTGAAAACTATGCTGGGCTTCTGAGAGGTGTTTTCTATACAAGTCTCACCTGGTTCATTTTATCAGACTCGTCTGGGTTGAAGTATTTAGCAATTTCCAGACAGTAGAGAGTTTTTCCTTCTGAAATGAATTTACTGGCTTGAAGTGGGTCTCTTGGATTGAAGGAGGATCTCCAGTTATTGAGGAGACCAGTTCTGTTGATGATTACAAGCCCTTCGATGTAGTCAAAAGAATTCTCGGATGATATTAAATATTCTTGGTCCTTGGAAAACTTAGAGAATTCATCGTATAGGACTCTGATCCATTTCACCTGTCAAAAAGCAATAAATCACATTGTAGATAAGAGTTTCTTGTGAAATTATACGATTGCCTAGAGATGTTGAGTGTAATTTTTACCATCTTAGGGGCTGGTTCAAGAGATATTTTCGCCCGAGTGATTATGCCAAACTGCCCAAGTCCTCCAAGAACACCATAAAAGAGTTCTGCATTCTGCTTCTCTGAACAGGTAACTAATTCTCCCTTGCCTGCACACATATCATCAAGTTATAGATTCAGTTATGCCTGTGCTAGCTTTAAATAATATTTGAATCACAGTTTCGAGTTTATAGTTAGAACTGGCTGTGAATTTCATTATTCTTTAGGCTGCATTCTTTTCTTTCTACATGCTTAATTCTAATTCGAAAGCGCAAGCAACTTAGCGTGGCGGGGTAAAGTTGTACTTTCATGAAAATTGAAGTAATAAAATCACTGTACTATCCTCCCTGTCATGCTGAAATGACCTTGTCGATATCGTGTACTGTGATATCGAGCCGACCTTGTTAAGAAATTTTTGAACTGCAGAATGCGGGCATGTGTAAATATACCTGTGACAACCTCCAATTGGTAAATGTTGTTAATCTGTGGCCCATGTTTGAATGCCTGTCCGCTAATTCCAGCATTTGATAAGGTGCCTCCGACGGTAAGATGAAGGTAGTCTGTCCAGGATTTTGGTGCAAGCCCGTATTTAAGAGTCTCGTGTAGAATATTAATCCACAACTCACCACCTGATGCATCCACATAGGGCAGTTCACCGGTGTGAACTTTCATTTCTGGTCCCCGAAGCGATTCCATGTTGATTACTATACCTTGATGAGCTTGTGCTTGACCTTGGACGGAGTGACTGTGGCCTCTAGCAGCAACAGTGAGCCGTGAAGTAGAGCCCATTCTGAAAATATGCTTTATAGTGTTGGAAATATCAGAAGCTGATTTTGGGTGTAGAACTGCTGATGGTAGGAAATGATATCGGTTGCCAAAGTCCTTGGCTGCATAATCGATATTATCAAAGCTGAAGTAGCCATCTAGCTTAAGTGTTTCCAAGGAAGAGATGTTGGAGGAGCTCTTATATGGAATAACGCTTGGGTTGACAGAAGATTGCTTGGAACAAAGATTGGTGTTATCAGGTATAGAGCAAAAGAACAAGATCAGGATCAATAGAAGGAATAGAAGGTTGTTCTGTCTGAGAGAAGCTGAAGGTGGTGACCCCATTGTTCGGTGTGAGAAAGAGAAGGAAGAGGAAAAATTGTGTATGTTGCTACTTGTGAAGAATAGCAGAAGGAGAGGTGTAGAAGAGCTTAAGGAAATGAAAGGTGGAGGAGACAATTTAAAGGGCAGGTTTGGGCGGCACAGTCAAAATGGAGTAAGATATTTCATAAATTTTATAATACTTAAAGAATATTCCATAGATGTTTACAATAAACACTTCATGGGTTCAGTTTTTATGAAAGAGATAAATAAATTTTTAAAAAAATCACATTTTGATTTATAAAAAATAATAAAAAAATTTTAACGTTCAGTTATAACTCTGCATGTTTACTTTGCCTTAAATGTGTGCTCATAATTTTTTTTTCTCTCTTTTTTGTGGGCTCCTCTTTTTTGGCTTCCAAAGAGAGTAGACAGAAGCCACAAGAAAGACCAAAGAGTTTGTAACTCGTCTTTTAGAACAAAAGATCACGGATAGATTAGTTTTATTAAGACTTTTGAGTATGTGAATTAAAAAGAAAAATCACAGAAAATGAAAAATACTTAATTAAACGTTTGCCACTTCCCAACCTCACAACCGAAATTTCCACCTTTTCTTTTTTCCCCCCTCCTTCTCACTGTCCCTTTCAGGGATGAGCTATCACTACTTGGAGCAATTTGCTGTCTATGATCCATTGTCTTTCCTTAAAACTTTTTTTTTTTTTTTCTTGTTCTCAAGTAATTGGCAGTGGTGTTATCACTGCTTGTCAGATTAGGATTGAATTTCCGGCATCGAATGAACCGGCCCCTACTAGGTTGCATTCTGTTTTGAGGTGAGTGGTCAAATATGGGTCCATGGTCACGTGATGTTCACGAGGTGGTGCTTGTTTAGAGAACTTTGGCAGTGGTTCTAGGATGCCAACCAACTTTGTTTTGAACACTTGGTAAAATCAACGTCTTAAGACAAGCATGTGTAACAAAAATTGTTTCATATGGAATTCATCCGAAGGACAACTTACCATCTGGTTGTGGGGGCATTGATATTGAAAACACACTATTGCTGGTCTGAATTTTAATATTGGTTTAGGTGGTTTTGATTTAATCCTTCTTCTTCTTTTTTCTTCCAAAAAATTGCTAGTGTCTTGATGAGGCCATTCCGTGGGTGTTTTTCCAGTAAGCTTCACCAAACTAGTTGAAAATGTGTTCCTTTGAACTTAAAACTTTATTTATTCCCCCAAAAGAACTAAAATCTTTCAAAAGGAATGACCCAATTTTGGTTGAATTATAAAATTGGATTTTAATACTTTTCTGAGTGAGCTCATGAAATATAGTGTAAAAATGTACCCCCCCCCCCTTCCATTTTTTTTACGTAAATAATTGAAATTTGACTGTCCAAAACATTATAATTATGTCTTGATGAGGTTACTTTCATTAAATAAAGGAAGGAAAATCCTTCACAACCATTACAATGAAAAGGATAAAAATACTCTTAACACATACTTGTAACACAAAAATCTTAGCAAAATAAACTTAAACTATGATCCATAGCAGTTTTGGAGGGAACATTGGAATGTCGTCGAAACCTGACTATGCGAACGATGAGAGTCCACCACAAAGTATTTGGAGGCTGTAGATGAATAAATAATTTAGCACCGAGTAAGATGAGTCAAAATTCCACATTTATCTGAAAAATGGTGGCCTTAGTAGTGCACATCTTTACCAACTCGTAGATTGAAGGAATCCAAGATGAAATTTCATGTCTAATCAGAGATTTGGTTGGACATTGTGTAAACCGGGTCAATAATCTTTGCCAAACCTCCAAAATTTTCTGTTGCTATCAAGTTAGATATTCCACCACAAAGACTAAGAGCGAAGCAAAATGACACATACAGAAGGGTAGGATAGTTGATTTTATGGATGGATATGAGAGATCCAAGGCTAGAGAGATGAAAAGTAAAGTGCAATGGTAAGCAAAATAAAAAAGTGATGGAAGGCTAAGAGAATTATCGAAGAAGGATTAGGGAGAGAGAAGAAACTTAGCAGGAGGTAAATATTATTTTCATTCTAAAGAGGTTGTCAAATTTTCTTATTTTTTGTTTGTCCCAAAATAATTAGATGAGTCGAAATATTAAGTACTAATTTAAATCCATCTTGTAAGAGATCTACAATTAAAAAATAAAGATATTTTGGAAAATTGTAGTAAAAAAAAAAAAAAATTAATATCAGGTGTGAAAAATCTTACAATTTTCTTAGGAAAGAAAAAGTAATATTAGCGTCTTGGTTGATGTGGCGTGAACTTTAATATTGATTTAGGTGTCGTGGCTTACAGTACTATCTTTATAGTAGTTGGGCGTGTAGGGGCCTGGGGGGTGCGTAGTTATGTGTGGAGAAATGGGGGAGGAAAGGGAACATGAGGATGACAGTTTGAATGCGGGAAACACCGAAAAGGTCAATCTATCAAGTTAGATTAGCTTGGAGTCTTAGATCCCAGCAATGGACATCGCTAGAATGATTCCCATCTGTAATATTTTTATTCTTTTCTCTGTGTGCCCAACAAACTACTATTATGGAAATTATTGGCCTATTAGCTTCTCCTATTCACGACCTAATAAGCATCCTTTTGAATTCAGCAGCTCTTTTGGAAAACGTATGCTTGTCCCCCAGTATCATTCATGCAAAGCAAAAAATAAAATATTTATAGCCTCAATGTTTGCTTACGATGATCATTTCTTATTTGTCTTGGTAAGTGCTTAGTGCCCAGTTACTGGTGTTGGTGATTACCATTTGGTGGTAGTAATATTATTAATTCTTCTCCCCTCTGAAAGCATTTCCTAGGGTGCCTTGCAAATTGGATATTCCTCCTTTCCCATTATGTATGGCCTTTCAATATTATCTCCCTGACTACTTCGCATCTTTCAGGTAGCTCCATCTTAGGGAAATAGAACTTGAGATTGGATTATTTTCAGACTCTTTTTTTTTTCGTGAAAAGATAACTTTGAAACTTATTACATGGTTGCAAAGGAGAGACAAATTCCCACTCAAAAGGAGGAGTTATATGTTTTTGAATTATCAGGATTTAACAAGTACAATGATTTCTAGTTGGTAATATAACCCAGTGGTCCTTTGGTCAGGAACATGTACGTCTCCCTCTTGCTCCATTAGAAGCATAACAAGTATGTGTGTGTGGCTGGTGGCGTGAAAGAAGAAGCTGTTTTTTTATTTTTTATTTTTTTGTTTATCAGTTGTTTTGTGCGTTATACTCAGGTCTGATTTGAAATCCAGTCAATAATGTGACTTGAAAATTGCTGTAAAATGCATCTTAAAATTTACATACACAAGAGATGCCAACAGTGATATTATGAATGTCAGTATGCTGCTACTACGGAATAAGGATTACTCAGTTGAGATTATTTGTAGGGTTTTTTCAACCTCACCTTTTCTTTTTTCTTTCTCCACTTCACACTTTTAAATTTTGCAGTGATAAACTTCCATCATTCGTATTTGCCGACCGAAAAGTAGTTTTAATTGACTTTTAAGCTAAAAGGTTAGTCTATGTATCTAGTGCTGGTGCTTGGGGACCTAGATCTCACCATTATGACATACCAAATTGTTGTCTTGCACTACATTTTTATAATGGTAAAATTAATATCTTCTCGGAGCAAAATGGAAATGGAGCATGATTATAAAACATGGTTCATGAAGGCACAATGTTATGGGAGTACATGCGTTCCCTCACAAATGAATCATAATAGTTATAGGGTTTATCTAACATTTGATCTCTAATATTTTTAGGATTTATCTCACATTTGGTATAGTTTTTAAATTTTTTTAATTGAGACAATTTTTTTTTAAAAAAAAATTATTGAAACCCTCTATTCTTAAAAATTTATTGATTTAGACCTTTCATTATAGCACTATTAATTATTCATCCGACACGGCACGATAAATCAATGTACAATCTTTATCTAAAATTTTTTAAAAAAATTGAAAATATTTTTTATTAGAAAATTAACAATTAGTATTTACAAATGATTGGAAAAAGATAATATTGCCTTCTTTTTTAGCAAAAAAATACAAATTTTTTGTCTTCACGAGCAGAACATTATTGACCCCGACCAATTGACTAGTTCTCGCATTCCCTATTGATTATTGTGACTATATGATAGTCACTAATGTGCTTGAATTTGTTGATAAAATTGCTCAAGCGAGGAGCCATTTCAACTATCGGGATTTCTCCGTTAATTTCAAGATTAATATCATCTCGCTTCAACGTCACAATAGCGGCGGTAGAAGCCAAGCCAGTGAGCGACCAACAAACACAACAAAACCACAAAAAAAAAAAAAAAGCATTCTAAATCTATTGATGAAATCCAAAAAAACTCATAAAGCCATGCTGCGAAACTACAAAATAAACCGAATAACAACGAGTTCCATGGTGCTAGATGCTTTAATCAAGATAAAAAGCGAGATCGACCCAACACTAAGAACACAAATGTTCGATATATGGGAATTGAAGAATTCATGGGCGATTTGAGGGAATTGAAGGTGCTTTTGTTTAGAAAAGGAATTTGGTACTAGATTTTTTACATTTTGGTGAAAAAATTATGATGAATAAGAAGAATTCACGAGTATATTTGGTTGCGAATTCTATAGTTTTTTCTTCTACTATCAATGGAAGTGTAGGTAATACTTTTATAATTGTCTATTCTCGATCTATATACGTCCCTCCTCATCTCCATAATCGTGCACCATCCTCTAACCCTCTAGCTACTACTTATAACAATCCTGCGTCAAGTAACGATCATTCTAGGTATGGTGCCGGATCTTGTTATGGCGTTTCAAGGAATGATAACCATTGAAGGCATGGGAATGGTGGTGGGAGAGTTGTTGGGTAGGGAAATATATAGAGGTGGTGGGGATCGTGGGAGAGAATGAAAAGTGAATCCTTTTGGAGATGATGATGAAAATTTAATGTGCAAGAGAATTCGAGGAGTTAGGGATTTGTATTTTCTTTTGTGTGTGTGTGT